GGTGGGGCTGGACCATTGGGGGTGAGTGGGGAGAGAGCAGGATTGTAGGGGAATAAAGGAAGTGGGGCCAGACAATCCTGCAGGGAGTGAGTGAGAAATGAAGCCCATGGTGTGTGTGTGGGGGGGGTCTCTTGAGGGGCACCGGCCCAAAGGGCAGCACTGGATGATGCTGGGTGGGTGAGAAATTAATCCGAGGGGAGGGGATCCCTCAGATCTGGGCACTGGTCCTGGGTTTGATACTGGATGATCCCGGGGAAGGTGAGAGATGCAGTTCATGGGAGGGGCAGCTGGTCAAGGGGGTGGTGCTGGAGGAGGGACTATAGAGGTGCCAGAAGGCTCAGGTAGTTGATTCATAGTTTCATCAAAAAAGATGGAAGATGAGTTTGAGGTATCACCTTGAAATCTCTCAGATTCAGTAGGGCCAGCCCCATTGATTGAGGCATCCCTATACTCAGCTCTTGGATAAGAATTTGCAGACCCAGCATGCTTATCTCTTACTTCCCTACCAAAAAAAATTAGCTTCTACAAGGATAATTAGCAAAATACCATCTAATAGGAAGCAAAACATTGCACTATTGAAGAGGGGCCTCCATATGCTTCCAGCAATGGTGATTTGGGGGGCTCTCCCTTCCACTGTGCTTTTAATGGCTCCATTAGACTCAGGACATGGGAAGAAAACAGAGACATAGTTTCTATTGTGACTTTTGAATCTAAATTTGTCAAGATTCTAAACATTGTAATGCCTCTTTTTTGAGTCAGAGATTTTGCTTTATGCAGCAGTAGAAAAGCATGGGGGGTCTGCCATAATGGCCAGATGTCAGGCACTGGCAGCTGTGGTGTGGCTGGAGGCTGTCAGGACCAGCTTCTGTTCTTCTAAATTTTGCTCCTCTGGTTTCCTGGGCAACGCCGGGTAAGTCCAGCTAGTTTTAAATGAAGTAAAATATTATGTCCAATGCAAAAAGTTTTCAACTCTGTCTTTATTAATAGCAAGGGTGGGGAACCTTTTTAGGGTTGGGGCCACTGACCCACAGAAAAGTCAGTTGGGGATCACACTAGTGAAAAGGAAAAAAAAGCCCCTCTCCAAAATCCCCCAAACCTCAATGATGCGGCCCCCAACTGAAACACCTAATTTCCCTGATGCTCCAGCTGCGGGGGCAGGGAAGAGAAGAGAACTGAGATTTCAAAGTCTCAGGCCAGATTCTTCTGAGGTTCCAGGGTTAGTGGATTTTGTGGGCCCCCTATGGTTTGGCGTGGGGCCAAAAATTAGGAGTTCAGTGTGCAAGACAGGGCTGCCAGTGAGTGGAACAGGAATGGGGGTGCAGGACTGGGCAGGAGGTGGGATGCAGGAGTGCCTCAGAGTGCAAGGTCTGGGTTGGGGAAGGGACAGAGTATCTGGCAGGGGGGAGGGGGCAGGAGCAGGCTGAGGGTGTGGGAACTCAATGGGGAGAGACAAGGGGATATGCAAGCATGGGGTCTCAGCAGGGTGGTGAGAGAAAGGCTGTGGTGCAGGGCAAGAGCAGGGTGGGGGTTGGTGTCTGGCCAGGAGGGAGGGGGGAAGGAGTGGTCTGAGGGCAGGGTGTCTGGCCAGGGGGAAGGCGGACACAACTTGGTGCTGGGCTGAGGATGCGGCCTCTTGGGATGCGGTGGAGGATGGGGCGGCAGGCAACCAGGGATGAGGGCCAATTCACCCTGCACCTGGCACTGCTCTTGAGCCTGTTGACTCAGCAGCCTCTGAGCACCAAGAACAACAGTGGCGCAAGCAAACAGCCCCAGAGCAAGCTGTGTTATCCCTGAACAGTGGCTGGGGCAGGGTGTCCGTGGGAGGGCAGAGCCTTTGGGACACTAGAGCGACGTGATGCTGTCACTCTGTTATCCCATAGGAAACTTTTATTTCTCTCTCTCTCTCTCTCTCTCTCTCTCTCTCTCTCTCTCTCTCTCTCTCTCGAGAATTACATGGGCAGAAGTCATCTTTAAGAAAGAAGATCCAAATGTTTTTCTTTACCAATGTCCTGAAATCACAACATTCTGCTCCAAATTTTAAAAAGTTTCATCATTCACAGCACTACAGTATCAGTGAAGGAACTACATTTCAGATACAGGCTGGACCTCCCTGGTTCAGCTCCCTTGGGACCTAACTCTGCAAGGACACTCTGGGTATGTCTTCACAGCAAAGTTATTTCGAAATAACAGCCGTTATTTCGAAATAACTTTACTAGCGTCTACACAGCCAAACCTCTATTTCGAAATAAAATTGAAATAGCGGAGTGCTTATTTCGAACTAAGTGCTGTGTAGACACTTATTTCGAAATGGGGGGCCTCCAGCCTTCCCAGGGTGCCCTGGTGGCCACTCAAGCCTCAACCAAGAACACTTCTCTCCTTC